CAACCCCACAGCCAGCAGAGCATCCCCAAACCCTTCCCTGTGTCACCAAACAACTCCAGAGCCAGCAGAGCATCACCAAACCCTTCCCTGTGTCACCAAACCCTTCCCTGTGTCACCAAAAAACCCCACAGCCAGGAATCACCAAACCCTTCCCTGTGTCACCAAACAACCCACAGCCAGCAGAGCATCCCCAAACCCCTCCCTGTGTCACCAACCCTTTCCCTGTGTCACCAAACCCTTCCCTGTGTCACCAAACAACTCCACTCCACCTGGGCCACCACCCTGCCCCTCACACCAGGCTTCTCTTCCCCTCTCTCTCTCAGTTTCTATAATTAAAAAAATGGCCAAGCTCCTCCCGGGCTCCAGAGCGTCCCCAACCCCAATTCCACACGGTGACAGCCTAATTAATCTTCTTCTTTTGTTTCCCCAGCACACGGGCTCCGCTCAGCTGTGGAATATGGTGGAATCTTGCTGAGAGCACATCTGGCAGGATTGCAGTGTGGGGGGAGGAATCCAGCAGGCTTTTGTGTGACTGGATCTGTATTTGTTTAGCTCAGTGCTCCAGACACACGGAGGAGAGAACAATCTATGCAGTCGTGTCCCAGATTGCCAGAAACACCTGTGATCCCAGACATTGGAGCATCAGAATGCAGCAGGAAAGGCATCTCTCTGCCCAGGGAGACATCATTACTCCCACACACAGCACTCAGGTAAAGAAAGATTGTGTGACTCGGCCAAGGTCACCCAGGAAACTGTGACAAAGCTGGGAACTGAGCCAGCACCTCACGTCCTCAGCTTAACTCCTGCAGCACCTTCTTCTCCAAGGTCTGCATTCCCTCTTTTCCCCTCCAGGGCTCTAATTAAACAGACTGGCCCATCAATAGCACTTGTGTGCTGGTGTGGAACTCAAAGGCCTCATTCTGATAAACTCCTGCTGAGGGTGAAGCAGCCCCTGGAGACACCTGGTCCCGGCAAAGTTGCCCTCACCTGAATGGAACCAAAGCCAAGCTTTTTGGTGGATCTTTAC